AGCATGCGTATATTATTTTTTAAGAGCACTGTGAGAGAGACAACGTGTAAGATCACAAAAGAAGCTTAGAATAAAAAAGCACAATAAAATCAGTGTGGGGACGCTGGTTCAAGCTAAAAACACAGAATTCGCACAACTGCAAAACAAAATAAATGGCCACAGCTCCAACTGTCGGCGTGAAGATGCGTTTTTTGCATAGTTCTCTGCAGGTTTTGTGGCGAGCGGCACCGGTTTTTCCGGCAGGTGCTTCTAGCTAAAAGAATTGAGACTGGCTACTACGACTGAGAGAAAACATTCCCTTAAAATTTCAGCTTTCTAACTTTGCAGTTTCACGAGTCAGCAGCTTATCTGCAAAAAATTTTCATGGGCAAAAAGACGCACACCTGGGAGCTGGATTTGAAGCATTAAGCCCCACGTGGACAGGGATCATCACTGAAAAATTTCAGCCTTCTGGCTTCTCAGGTTCCCGAGTTAGTACCTCGTCCGTAAAAAAATTTCACGGGCTCCTACGTGGAAACCACGTACGCCTAGGGGCTGGGTTTGAACCCAGTAAGTTCTATGTGAACGGGGTGTATTCTCTCAAAATTTCAGTTTCCTCGCTTCTTTGGTTCCCGAGTTTAGCAGCTCACCCGCCAAAAACTTTTACAGGCCCATATATGGGGACCGCATGGGTAAGAGTGCCCATTTTGGAGAATGGGGCCCGTATGTGTATGTAGATTAAGCTCCCAAATTTTCAGCCTTGTAGCTTCTGTGGGTCTCAAGATGAAAAATCGGTACAGACGCACATACAGGCAACCCTTCGCAGTACGCATTTTTGCACTGCATAGATGCAAAAAAAAAAAACGCATAAAAACTAGGCAGAAATGTATGATGGAGAGCAGTTAATAAACAGCCGGAGCTATTCGGCTAAAAAACGAAACCCAACTGTACGGTTACGAGACGCACTTCCCTCCTACCGCCCCAAATTTACGATGCACCCTTCATTTTGTTGCATACGCTGCTGATCACGACACAAATTACCCGCCAAGCACCGTCTTTACTTGCCTACATACTGCAATCAGCAGTCGTCTCACTGTGACGTACAATCTCGCCATCTGGCAATCTTACCACGACTAGTGTAACCGAGACTGCATCAGATGCTAGTCAACCAGAAATATTCCCCTTGTTTTTCCAACGTTCCATCCAAGAGAAATGCGAGATAAGTCAAATTTCTTCGGCATTTTACCTATCCCTCAGCGCGCCTATTACCGCTGCTCTTCGATTACATCACCTGTATGTGGGCCTATATCAGGAATTAATCATATAAGACATCTCAACAGCGATAGATCCCAAGCGGCAAAGATCTCTTTTATCATACTAAGAAGCGACCAAACTCCGACTAAAAGTGAAGTAGAAAATGAGCTAACAAGCACACTTCCAGTGAAAAATAAAGTAAATTACTTACCATACAAATAAAACACTTCTGAAAAAGAAAACATATGGAGGAAGTATTACTGTTATGGTCAAAAGATATAATCCAGTGGTGCCCAACGATTAATTATGCGAGCGGAGATGGAGGAAAAATGGGTGCAAAGCATCTCTGCGAAATTTTAGCGCAAAAAAAGTCTTTCAACAAATTCTTCTCAAAAAAGCAAGTTTTTGAATACATTTTATAATAGAAGCTTATAGAGTTGGTGTACTAGTGAGTGGCATCTACCTGCATGCCAAAGACACTGATTCAAAACGGTCGACAAAAAAAATCAATTCCTCAATAAACCGTTTTGCTCAAGTGCTAGTGTGCCAGCATGCCAGGTAAGCTGCTTTTTTAGCATGCTTCAAACAAATCCAGAAAGAGCAAACCACGGGTAGCTTTGCAAGCGGATAGCTGCTGCAGCTGCTGGCAAAAGTGCAGGCAACGGGGTCCCTGCTGAGTACATCAGTCGCTTACTGAAAGTGAGTGACGAAAATCAAATAACACTTAACGGACACAAAAAATCCAATTACTGCTCCATTTGGAGAGGCTGTCTTCTGAACCACTTTTCTAGTGGGAGAAAAAAAGAAAGAAGAGAAAGCATTTCTATTTATCTTACCCCAAAAATTTATCAACTGAAAAAAAAAGATTTATTGGTCGGTCAAAAATCGGAACAGCAGTCTTTGTTGAGCAGTGAAACTCCACTCTTTTGCATTTAAAAATTAATACGAACAAACTTACTCACTTTGAATTATATCGCGTGGAAGCATACATGCAACTTGTCTGAAGAAACAATCGTAAATGGATGCGCCGTGAAGGAGGAAATCAAACGCTTCCTGCTTTGATGAATCCAAAAAATTGTTTTGTATTGTTCGTACCAATGTTCGTCGCGCATCTTTCACCTACACTACGAACACATCTAATTGACTGGTAAGACCGATTCAACGGAAAGTTCAAATCCTTTGATAACCAGCAAATTAAGGAAAACCAACAAATTAAAAAGTGATAGAATGGGAAAAGTCGAAACGAAAAAGGCTGCTCGTCCCACCGAAAAAAGTTACCTACCACTGAGTGGTGTATGCGCGAATGTTCATGACCATTCAGCCGGCCTATGAAAAAGCGGCGCATGTAAGTGGTAGAGATGGCAGACACGAACC